AGACTACTGACACACAACAAGACACACAACAGACTAGACTACTGACACACAACAGACTACTGACACACAACAGACGACTGACACACAACAAGACACACAACCCTCCTCTACACACATCAAGCTGACTTCTCAAAGTTTCGGTGAAAAGTTTCAAAGTGTCTCCAGCAGAAGTTTGCTGTGCTGCGTTCAGGGTCCCGTGGGACACATGACACCTCCTCCTCCTCCAGACCAATAGGAAACCTCTCAGGGGCGGTTCAAAGACCCTGCAGGACCCTGTGCAGCAGCGTGGGACCCCGACTGACCCCCTCTACCGGCAGGAAGGACAAACACGTCTTCCATAAGAAAAGAGACACTCGATGAACATGGAGTCTCGCACACATCAGAGGAATAAACTGTGTTTATTGGTGAAAACGTTGTGATCCCAGCCTCTGAACACATTTACAGTTCCTGCTGCTTTTACAATATTTCAAGATTTAACATTTCCAGTGTTCCAGTGTTTCAAACACATAAATCCCTGATTGTGCCCCGTCTGCAAAAATGAAAAATCAGCGATACCAGGAAGCAAAAGGTGGTGAACAACAAATATAATAATCATAATAATACTAAATGATTTAATAATGAAGTCAGTCTTTCATGAACGTTTTCATTATTCCCTCATCAGTTTCTTCAAACTTTAAGCTTTTACATTTCTTCTGTTTTCCATCCGCTGTCGTCATCTTTCATCTCGCAGCCTCCGAGTTCTGATTCTATTTTTAAATTTAAATGTATTAACTTTAAACGTTGCTTCAGTTTTTCACCGTCCCAGTTTTTGTTCTACATTTCAGTCGTTTTCAGTCTCATCTCAGTAAAATCCTCCAGCTCTCAGCTTCCACATTCCGTCTTTTTCCATCCGTCTCTGCATTTTCTTCAACGTCGTCTTCCAGCTTTCCAGCTCCCAAGTTTTAAATCTGCGCATCAGCTGTTTGATCAGAAACTTAAAGCCGCTTCAGCCGTTTTACTTGAGTCCAATTTCCTTGAGATTTTCAGCTTCCACAAATAAATCTTTCATCATTTTTAATCTTTTATTAATCTTTTCATTAAATTTTAATTTGCTTTGCAAATGATTTCAGCTTTAAGCATTCACCCTGGAGTTTCCAGGTTCTTCTGCACACACAGATATACAGAGTGTGTCCGATATACACCCAGGTCTGGATGTTTGAGGGCATATTTAATATTTATGTTCAGACACGTGACAAATTAAAGGAAAACCCAACAGGAAGTAAGCAAGTAAGTAAGTAAGGGAGGTGTTGAGCCACCAGGTGTCGCCACAACACACCTTGATATAAAAATCGATCTACTCTCTGTCTGTACGTGACTCACACATCTCACCAAGCGTTCATCTCATCAGCTTCACACTCGTCATGTTTGTTGTGAAGGGACCAACTAAGTGCAGTGTTGAATTTGGTGCGATTCCGACTCGTGAGACGTTCAATATTAATAAACTTTGCATGAACAGGCGACCAGCGCTCTGCAGCAGCAGCGACTGGGACTCATCGAAGTAAGTGACGTTGTGCATCGTGAGCCGAGCGCCACAGAACTTTGAATAAACATGTGAGCGGCTCTTTACTTCAAGTTCTGTCACTTACACAGAAAGAAAACTGCAGCCAGCATCTCCACAGCCGGTTTAAAACCAACACTGCCTTTTGCTTTTCCTTCAATTTGTCACCACCTGTACGTTTGCATGTGCGTACTTATGTCAGGTAATAGATGCAGAGGACGCCTGTGGTCGTGATACTCGGAGGAACTGACGCCAGCAGGGATGAAGCAGCACTGAAGGTGAAGTACGAGTCCTCTGATACACTCGAACCTGGAAAATATGAAAGGAGAACCATCTTTTATCTCAGTTTTGTTTGGATTTGGAATTTATGCGTTAATGATAGAACTCCTTATATATTTGAACTGTTGCATTGTTGTATGATGTATGATTTAATTTTTGTGGAGTTCTGCAAACTAACAGGGGTGAAAATATATCATGAAGATAAAGTATCACCTGTCACCGTTGCTGTAGAGACAGAGATCACCAGGTCGTTTTCAATCCTGCAGATGAAGGAGTCGTCCATGTTAACTGGCACCTTGCTCGTAACGCTGTATATCTTGTTGGGGCTCTGTGAGAAGTTGGTCACTCCCTCCAGGACTTCATCGTCCACACTCAACCACGTCACGTTAGGTTTAGGGAACCACCTGCCGGCCTGAGCCGTCAGCACGCTGTCGGAAAGTGTGAATGTGGGGGCTGTATAGGCTGAAATCACAAAACCATACACATTCAGGTAATAGTCTGATCCCCACATAGCTGTTGTGGCCCAGATAATGTCCACATCCCACATCGCCTAGAGCGTCACATATTTGCCAAAAAGGCCCATATTTGCTATTTTACATCTGAGGGGACGCACATCCGTATGATGCGTTAAAGGTGTTGAAACACACTTATTAAATGTTTATACATGACCTAGAAATGTTAAATAGTGTCAACAGTATTTTAATTTCCAAAGCAAACATTCGAAGGGACTGGAAAGACGAGTCGTTGCACCTGCTGTCCTGAGATGAATGTTGACTGTGCCTCCTTTCTCAGGGGAGCTGATGCTGCACGTGTACTCGCCCTCGTCGCCTTTCCTCACCTTCCTGATCAGCAGGGAAGCGTTCCCTGTAGCCAAAGCTTCAGGGAACAGCTGAGTTCTCCCCTTGAACTGTGAGCTCTGGTCCTGCAGGTTGGCAGCTCCGTTCTTGTAATTGTAAACCACTCCGCTCAGGCCCTTCTTCTCCCAGGTGACCGACACGCTTGTGACAGTCTGCTTGAGAAGGTAGCAGCTGAGGAGCAGGTCATGGCCCAGGTTTGCGATGGGCGCCGCGTTACTGCTCAGTACGGCAGACGTGGAATCTGTGGGACGAGGAGACGGACACGTGCAGGTTTGTGAGAGAAAATAAAAACACAGAGTTGAGGCCTTGACAGATTTTAGTCACATTTAATGAAAAGTGATTTTTGTTCCTGAAGCAAATTTAAGAAAAATGACCTGAAGGTTCTGTTTCTGGTCCCGTTAATTGTTCCTATGGAGCTTATTGAAGAATCTTAATGTTCTGAAAGTCATTCCAATGTGAGAGGGACAACTTCCTCAATGCAAAAATGTTTTCTTTGGTTTATTTCAGTCAGAAATAACACGAAGATTCAGATTCTGGCTAATCAAGTGACACATGATCCTCTTTTTACATTATTACGTTATTACTCTTTGTCTGTTGGCAAGTTTACACGAGAAAATCTAAACCCATTTTATTGAAACCAGGAGGAGGATGAACTGTTTCACACGTTATCGTTCATTTTATCATTAATCTCATTTCTATTGATATTTAATACAACGCAGTGGATTTGCATCACTCAGTATACACTTTATGTTTTTATCTAGTGTACGGTACATACTTAATTCTGTATTGTTTTCATTCAATGTATTCTATTATTATTTATGTGTTATAATAGATATTATACCGTTACTGTAATCTAAAAGCAAGCTGACACAAGGATTGACTTCAGGATTAATTAAGTCTTATCTTATCCTCAACACAAAAGTCAGAAAACCTCTCACACAGATGTGAATTGTCTAAACGTGTGTAATCATCTCCAACCTTTAACCCTCTCACCTTAATTATCAAACCATAACATGACCTCAGATAACCTTCTGCGACCAATTACCCCCCCCCTTAATTTTACCTGAAAAAGTTCATGAGGTCAAAACTGTCACATCTACGTTCACAAAAAGACCAAAGAAGTTCAACTCCACTTTGAAACATCCAGAGAACACGACTCGTGAAGCTACACACACACACACACACTCTGGGCAGGTTTCATTATAACCAGCAGTACTTCAGTGCAGACAAACAGAGAACAGCTAAGTGCTGAGCACACTGAGGTTTCCCCTCAGGCCTGACGGGGCAACACCCACGACAACAGAAAACACATGGTTCTTACCTGAGAAGGCAAAGCAGAGGATGATGATGATGATGGCCGCGAAGGTGACGATGAGGGCTAACATGCTGCACAAAGAGAACACAGAAAGGAAACTGACTGAGGGAGAGTTTCAGTGAAAGACAACATCTCCGGCTGTGAGTGCTGCGAAACATTTCTTCATCTTACACTTTCATGTACCAAAGAGTTGAACATCCTACAAGGTGGCTTTCATAGGTTTCTGATTTTGGTTTTTTACTTGGAAAATATTTGGTGCTTAAGCTTTAAAAGTGCCACATACATTGAATTTCTCATTAGCTGTATTATCATTATCACTATTATTCTTATCTTAGAAGTTAAGAAAGGAAACGCTCCTTTGGTTGATCGGCTACATCTCGTGTAACAAGAAGCTCCATGATTCCTGAAACAACTGTTTTGCACTTGACTAAATTGAACCTCTTCAGACCCCTGAAGTCACCCCCCTGACCTCCAGACCGCACCTGTAAAAGATGATCCTCCCCAGGACGCTCATGGCTGCCGACAGAACCTCTCGACAAACGATGAAGTTAAAGTTCCAGTCAATCCATTCCTGCTTAATATCCTCTCATCTCTGAACAGATCCGACGTCCTCAGTCTGCGGCTCCTGGTGTACGGCCTCTCGCTCTCTCAGCACTAGAAGCACAACACCATGAGCAAATATTACCTTTAAGGCGTAGGCCTCATATCTGTTGACATATCGTCACAGTAACTCATTTTCTTATCAAATTACGGGCGCAGGCTAATTTACCTGACAAAGCTTCTCGTATTCAGCTGCATGTTTATTCCCTGGATGACGAACTGTATGATATAACGTGAAGAGTGTAACTTTGATGTTAATTTGTAAACTCATTAAGTTCAGGTAAAGTGCGGGCATTTTGTTCGGGTGATCATCATACATGTATATAAAGACAAAGTACTCCGACAAGTTACTCAAGGTCACCATGGCAACGTGGTTCATAGTTCACAAAGCATGAATTCAAAAACCATTATTCTTTTTTCCATACAAAGTAGATCTGAACCTGAAACATGTTAAAGGAATATTTCTGTTCAAACAATCGCTACTCAGCATTTTTTTTACGTAGAGATTATAAACATAGATTATTACTGTTTGATTAAACCATGAGAAACTGCTACATGTGACACTGACACCTGCTGGCCATTCACCGTTACTGCTGATTCATAGATTACGCTTTCATCAAATAAACAGCACACAGACAATTTATGAAAATGGACGTAGACTCCGGGTCCAGAGAGTGAAGCCAAAGTGGGAGTACCTGACACCTGTATTCTCTTGAATGGCCAACAGGGGGCGACTCCACTGGTGTATTCTATGATTCTATGATTCTATGACTTGTCCTTTGATTTGATCTTTGATCTTGAGTGTCAGGCGCAAGTTGCAGCAAGTTTCTGTATTTGCGTTTGTTTTCTTAATTTTCCGAGCGTTGAGCTCCGTAGATTCGTCCAAGATGGCGCTGGACAAAATATCAAAAGTCAAAATGTGGCCACAGAATAGATTTATATTGATATTCACTGCCACTAGATGTCGCACCAGCACCAAAAGTAAACCACTATGCCAACATTATCTCCTTGTTTCAGTACTTGTACACAGAAACCACATCTTTTTTCTGTTTGAAGAAGTTAAAGTTGACAAACCTACAGTGCAGCCGTTAATACAGTGTTTATGGGTTTTGTCTCTATCGTTCAATGTCGTCTGTAAAGTAGTAAATCTTTCCTCCTTGAACTGCACACGACTTAAAGGGAATATTTGGAAATTCAGACAATCTTGAAAAAGAGATTTCTTGCCTCACTCCTTAATTGGTCACATTTTCATGTCTTTCTTTAAATATTTTATGATTTATGATGACACCAATGGTAAACAAACTTTTTTTGATATATATTTATATTTGCACACAAAAAACTATTGTATAATTTTTAAAGAAGTCTGAAACCCACACACAGCAACACTGACACCTGCTGGACATCCCCTGGCACTACTGACTAACAGTAAAAACCTTCTTTCCTTTCAGTTTATATAACATGAAGGAAACAGAATATTTAAAACATGAATTACACTAAATTAATTTTCACGTATTTCTCTCCAGCTCTAAATATATATTTACTGATAGAGACAGAAAATAAAACATGTTAGAGGGAAACGAAAATGAATTCCACAGTGAACTGGACATGGTGAGAAATACAGATGTGGATTAAGTTCTGCAGATTTTCTCCAGAGGTGTTTTCAGTGTCTGAGCTCGTCAGGCCTTACAGATGGAGAGTCCGTACCCCAGACACGCCCATTCATTGGTCATCTGCATGAAACCCGGGGCGGACGTCAGGCCGCTCGCTACAAAAACAGCCACAAACACAGATGGATTGAAATTATGTATTTCTAATACTCACTGAATATAGTATTTGGTACTTAATGCTCCCGGTGCACTCACCTGCCAGCAGGTTGCGGAGGTTGCAGTAGTTGAGGCCTCCGTCGAGAAGGCTGGAGAAGCTGAGAGAAACAGACTTAGCCTGGAAGAAACAACAAGTGCATTCATTAATAAACTATTCTGTCGGAAATCACCACTGATTTTAATCAGTGACACATTTTCAGAATCTTATTTTGCATAAATAAAAGAAAGTGTGAGCCTCGGCATTGTCAGCCCACGTCACATGAAAGCCTGCGCGCTCTGAAATATGCTGCTAAGCTGCATTTACATCAAATATTAGAACAACAGGACATTATGTAAGTGAGTCAATATTCTATTGTTGTACATACCTGAAAACTATGAAAACTCCAAAACATGTTCAATAATTAACACATAAAGTAAAAGTCTGTTAATCAGTGGCTGAAGACAGTTTGATACATGATGAAAAACTTCAACTCCCATTTGCTTTAGATGATTATTTAGCACTTGAATTAAACTTTTATATTGATGACCTGAATATTCATATCTTCTGTATGTAATACGCTTGAGGCTGAGAGCCACAGAAAGAAAGAAACTTAAGATGAGTTAGCTTAAAGGTTCCTCCATTTTATACTTGGAAATACGAAATCTGTTGTAATAGAAATATCCTAGAATAGAATAGAATAGAAAGTCTTTGCTCTTGTTGGTCTGTACAAAATGCTCTTACTTTTTTAAATTAAATTAAGAAACAATATACATTTGAATATACAAATACAAATGTAGACAATATAGAGCTGAAATGTTGATAGTACGTAGACTCTGGACTCTGGTGTTTGCAGCGTCTCTGCAGAGTTTTCTCCGCTTGCCGCTGAGCAGAAGTGTGTGAATACTCACCGACACGCGGCAGCCCCCGGTCAGGATGGTGGGACTGAAGGTGAAGGTGATGTTCTCGGCCTGAAGCCCGTCTGCGGAGGTGTGGTTGGCTTTGATCATTAGAGAGGAGGCCGACACAAGCTGGAGCAACAAGACAACAAGGTCAAGGTGTCGACTTCACAGTTGTCGACTTGTCAGCCTTCACGAGGGAGTCAAACACCAAAGAGACTCTAGGATCTTACCATGTAGTGACAGTCATCACAGGCGCTCGGCGGGCTGAAGGCCTGAATCTGTTGCACCAGTTTGGTTTTAATTTCAGCACAAGGTGACGCAAAGAGCCTAGAATAAGAGTGTGGTTTAAAAACATTTACTATTCCTGTGATTCAGCTTTCCAACGCAGACATGAGACCCTCAGTGAAACCCAGATTGACGAGCTGCACCTACCAGAGCGTGTTGCAGAAGGCGTGGTAGGGAACAGGAAGGGCTGAAAATGATCTGACCGCTGCGATGAGAGCAGCAGCCAGCAGCAGCGTCGCAGTGGTCATGATGAAGCCGGGTTCTTTTTCTGCAGATGAGTGTGGACGACTGAGTCTGATCCTGCAGCGTCACACGTGTTTATCACAAGGTCGGCAAACAAGGCTCAAAATGAATTTGGTCAAGGCTGTGACTTCTTATTAATTCTATTGGTTTTGGTTCGTTTAGTAACATCTGCCCTCGTTTCCTTTCTAGAATGTGTTTCAATACAGTTTCAGACAAAAAACCAAGAAGGATGAAGTCACAGGGTTGCGTCTCGTGTGGCTCTATTCCATCCCACTGCAGATCTGAGCATGTGACCAGAAAGTCGATCATTGTTTGGTGTTCTGGTGCCCGTCACTTATGAACTATGAAATTATGAACATGGTGTTTGACTGATTGTGAACCTTTGCAGAGGAAACCTTCTCAATAAGCGGTTAACACTCACCCAGCATTGTGTTACACAGCCGTCTGGTCTGTCATGTGTCACCAGTTTGCCCCGTACGCACCGATGCATCTTTAGTAAGAAGTTGTACCTCCTACAAAATGGACAATATGTTGACCTGTGTCTCAGAAACCTCACACTCAATTCCAAGAAAGACTTTTAACGAATGAGAACATGTGCAGCAGCTGAATGATTCGCAGGAAGGATAAAGTACGTCACTGCACCAACGAGCTCAAATCCATTAAAACTGTAAAATACATTGTGATTTAAAGACCATGCAATCACAGAAGATGAAAGAGACATAAACGCTTCATGTTACAGATTAACGGGCTGAGAACAAAAAAACCTCATGTCCCATGTCCTTTATTGCTGTTTATAATTGGGTCATGGTGTCATGAGTTCACATAATTAGAGAAGACCTTTGTCTTATGTCTTATTCTGACTAAACACCCTGAGTTTTTATGACGACTGAAGCTACCACAGTTTCTTTTTCATGTTCTGAAGGAGAGGGTGAGGTGAGGGGTGTTCAGCTGGATGATGCACTTGTGCATGAATGTCCAACTTTTTGAAGGTCTGCACCTTAAAGGTCCAGTGTGTAGAATTTGGTGATATCTAGTGTTGAAGTGTCATGTTGCAGCTGAACACCCCTCACCTCCCCCTCTCCTTCCAAACATGAAAAAGAACCAGTGGTAGCCTCTAATTCTCAAAAACTCAAAAGGTGTTTAGCTTGTCCAGTCTGGACTAATGTAAAAAACATGGCGGCCTCCGTAGAGAGGGTCTCCTCCATGTAAATATAAAGTATTTAAATACAAATGGCCTTTTCTGGGGTAAAAAAAACTACAATTCATACAATTTAGATCCAACGAACTAGTGAAAACATCATGAGGATTATTCTACATTAAATTTCTGCCAATAGTTCCTTTCACCTGAATCTTACTTACACTGGACCTTTAAGTGAGCATGTTCGCATAAGGGACATAATGTGGAAAATGGAGTTAAGATAGAACTTCTCAGGCTTGTTGGACGTATGCATCATGTTTCCAAGAGAAATGGTGATTCATGGTGCTCTGGAAACACATGGAGCCGTAACGCTGAGTAAATCCTTCTCACAAATGTTGAATAACTTCACAATCACTGATCAGGGGAGTTCCATGTCCCGTCATGGTTTTTTCACATTGTGATCTGGGGGAGTTAAACCAACAACAAAGGGAAACAAAACAATCTGTAACACCTCTGTTCCTGAGGTGTGTCCACAATCAGACGTTGCTTTATTCTGACTTTAAAAGGTTTCGCAGTGAAGCACCGAACACTCAAGAATCCAAACTCCACGATGAGCGTCAGAGCTGCCTTCGTCTCCTTGATGCTGCCGCCGCTGCTGCTGCTGGCCCTCACCTCGGCTGCAGACCAGACCTCCTGCAAACTGATATGGTTCCTGGATTTATTTCATTTAAAATGTGAATTTAAATTTTTGGCAAGTTGTTAGTGATATATTTTTATTCTTACTTTTCTTTCTTGCTTTTATTCACAGGCAAACCAAGATGCCTTGTGCCATATCTCTCAGTGCTCTGATCAGCCAGGTGAAGATTTGGAGCAGAAACCAGTGCAGTGGTCCTCAAGAGAAGTGCATGTACGAGGTAAGTTTCATCAAACGTCTTCTGATGAATGGAGGTTTTAAACTGTAACTAGCTGAGTATTTGAATTTTCACAACTTCGTAATATCTCATTTTATGAACAGATAGTTAGATAAGACTTTAAGTTGTTTACATATGTTGCTATGATGAGACATAAAGCATTAGAGGCAGAGTCAGAGAGCACGAGTCAAATTTAATAAACAGAATAAATTTCCTTACTGAAGAAAATCTGGATTTGATAAAGTTATATATCATAAGATCGAGAGATGAAGTGTGTGAGGAGCAAGAAACAAAAAACTCAAATGTATATATATGAAAATAAATATTAAACAATAGGATTTGATGTCACAAGATCTTTTTCACTTTTATTTATTCTCAAACACGATTTATTACCAACAAGTGATGATGTGATGTTTTATTTCCTTTTTATTTTATGTACCTCACTTCTGAATTCCTTTTGAATCCCATTTCAACCATGTGAAGCACTTTGTGTGTGATTCATTAAATGCATTTAATTAACATTAGTATTATTTAATAATATCAAGAAGAAATACTTTATTTTTTAATGTTTTATAATAAAATCTAATAATAACACATTTGAGTTGCTGTCTTTACGTAACCGCTGAAATGACAACGATAGAAAAAGTTCCTCATCTGTTTTGGGAAATAAAACAAACCCTGCCACATGTTGGTCATTGATCCAAATCTGTGTCGTTACCACGTCTGTGTTTCTGTTACTCAGCTCTTGAAGTACACGTCCAAAGAACTTCGAGTCAAGCACACGTCCCCCGTCACCACCGACACCAGCACAATCAACTTCTTCTTCAACTCCTCCGCCCCCCCCGTCTCCCCTGACACCCCCTCTTCCTGCAAAATGTTTGTACGTTCCACATGACACACATGACGCACAATGAACCACAACAAGTGTGAACGTGTATCTAACATTTGTTTCATCCTCAGGCCATGTCCACTTCAAATACCACAACCTCCACATCCAACAACTACTGCCTCATCTACAACCTCCTGGAGGGTACGACTCCTTTCGTAGATACAGTATATGAATTTATATATGTTCATCAGAAACACATCTCAACATTGAAGAGGCTCTAACTTCTCTTTGTGTTTTTGTTAAAACAGGAAGTGGACTGACTCAGGCCTTTGGCGCCAAGGAGATCATCAATAAAGGAATGTGTCCTTCAATGAAAACGGCTACGTGTAAAGTCGCCTGAAGGCCGACTTTTTCTGATCTTTATCTAAAAAGACATTCTTATTATTGTTGTTGATGTGTTTCTTCACTGCGACCTCCTCTAATGTACTTTATTGTGAGAAGACAGAGTAAAGTTTGGGCTGATGAACAACTTATTTTGGGGGTTCAAGATTTGTGGGACTGAAAGTTGTCTGTGGGTTTAGAGGCTGTGATTGCTGCTGTGTGCAAACTGAATTGTCAACGTGATATCTACATATTAAAACAATAAATTGAACGCTGTAAAAACAGAGTTTACATGACTTTATTAAGCTGAGGACAGAACAGCTTATTTTACATTTTGCATTAATGGTTATTCGAACAGTTTCCAGAGCTGAAAAGATTTTTTTTGGTTCATATTATCATTTATTTCTGCAAATGAGAAACTTACAGTTGTTTTCATGGCAGCGCACAGTGTGTGTGGATACTGATGTGAAGGAATGTAAAGTCGTTAGTGAAGCGAAGGTGAGAAAACAGAAAGGAAAGATTGTGATGTTTATATTTTCTGTCTTCAAAAGCCAAAGCACAGGAAAGGCCTTCAGGTTATTATGCACATTTTGTAATTATAGTATAAATGAAGCTAGAAGGTCAGATATAACTCAGTTAATACAAGTAGCCTCTGTAGGACAGAATGGATCATTGTGTTTAACACTGCGCTCAGTCCTGCACCTTCCTCTACTCCGTCATGAAAGATACTAAACCATCATCACAGGTTGAAATTGAAGAAAAGTGAATATGATTCAAAACAACTGTCACCAGAAACCCCCACCTCCCAAAAATCATGATTTAAAAAACAATTCAATCTGAAAGAAAACAGTAACTGGATGAAAACATGCACGTGAGTCCAAGGTTTCAGTTGGAGAAAATAAAGAGTGTCTAGACTCGTGTTCCGCGGACATTACGATTTCCCGCCTATTAAAACTCCGATGTCTGGTGACTGGAGGGGCTCTCTGCGAAACACACAGAACCCATTGTTAATGATCATGAATCCAGTCTGAGGCGACTTTTGCTTCCCGACATGGAGAATTATTTCGCTGGACGTCCCCCATTAGACGATGATCGATTGTCCAGAAAATGGAGGTACGTGGCAGACACTCAGAGAGACGGTGGCGTTCAAAACAAGTCGAATTAAAACATTTCCAACACCAACAGCGCTGTTGGCACGAGGCAGTTTGCATCCGTGGATTTGTGATCCAGTGGATTTAAATGTGGTTCCATGAGGACACAGTTTGGCCCTGGTGGAGGGACGCGCTATGTTCTAGTTAAATGACGTGCATGTCCACAGAATGTAAAAATAAATCGTAGGCGTTTCACTTTCTCTCACGCCATCTTCTCTTCATGGACCAGTAGAGGGGGGATCTGACCTCTGAGTGTCGAGAAGGGGGGCAGGCCTTCGTAGCCCAGCAGCTGACGGGTGGACGACTCCCAGCTCCGACCAAACTCCAGCCGGCTGTAGATGCATGGGTACTGTTTGTCGGCCCAGCAAACCCACTCCACCGCCTTCTTCACCTCCTCCCAGCGCTGTGGCCTGCGGACCAGAAAACAAGATTTAAATCGTGAGCTACAAAAAGAGGCTTCGAGCTGAATAAGTTTCACTGTCTTGGAGTTGTGTGTGTGTGTGTGTTGTGTGTGTGTGTGTGTGTGTGTGGTTGTGCACCGACCTGGGCTGAGTGGAGTCATCCAGACAGAAGAGGGTGCGGAGCAGTTTGCCTTCCTCCAGTTTCTCCTCCCTCATCATCTGCAGAACCAGAAGAGTTGCCACCAGCCTCAGGATGTCTGTGTGGGCCCTCACACCTGCAACACACACACACATGCACACACACATGCACACACACACACACATTAATTCCTTAAAAAGGAATAAACTAAATCTTAAAAGCCCTAACTGATTAAAATCAGGTTTGTTCTCACCCAGAGAGCAGATGCCTTTGTCTTTCAGGAACACGTTGACAAAGCGGTCGATGTTAACTTTCATGTATTGATACAGTTCTGTGGTCAACTCCCAGTAGCCCTCCTGCAACACACACACACACACACACACACACACACACACACACACACACACCACAGTTTGGTTTCAACTGTGCTCTGGCCACATCCGAGCAGAACCGATAAACCTTTAAAAATATTACCGAATGTTGCATCTGGAAAATCTTTTCCCATCTGGACATCGTCGCATCAAGTTCTTCCCACATTCCCCTGAAACAAGCATCACATCAGGACACAGAGTGAAAGATGAGACTCGTCTGACATTAAAAACATCCAGAAACGTAGAGACACACACACACACACACGCTGACATTCTCTTTCTCCCATAAACGCCCACAGAAGGAATTATGAGGAACACCTGTGGTCGTGAGAGATGTCATGTGACAGCAGGAAAGGCCTTACAGATGGAATTAAAGACGTCTACGTCCAGGCCAAGTGTCCCGGTTAGGACAGCAACTAACCATTATTTTGATAATTGATTAATCTGTCAATTAATTTTTTCAAATAATCCAATAAAAAGACGAAAAGCTGCATTTGAACCTTTCCAGCAGTTCGTCTTGTACAAGCTTTACACGTATTACAGACGTCTGCAGCTTAACTAAGACGACGATTCCAGTTTCAGAAACTTACAATTCAAATCGTGACTGTTCAAGATTCACTTAAATTCTAGATACCTGACATTAAGTTTGATCTAGTCAGTACGATGTTATATTCAAGTCAGGATTAAATTGTGTTCATCGGAAACTGGAATGATAATTGTATGTTGCAACATAATTCTACTGAATTGTAGATTTCTATATATAATATATGAGTCCACCACTGAAGTCCCATTAAATTCGCATCAGATCCATCATGTGAACATAAACTGCTAAATCCAGGGTTTCAAAATGCTAAAGAAAATGTAATTAATCATATATTCAGATCTTTCCATGGATTCTTCTTCATTTTCTCAACCAGGTTCGTGTCCGTATTAAATCTGGAGGCGTTTGTGGCGATAACAACTTCATACAGGAGCAATCAACAGCGTTTTCTATATTGAAGCATATCTATAAAAAAATAAATGTTTCAGGACTCACCCCGGGAGAAGTGTTGGACTGATATATTGAGCTGAACATTGTCTGTGCATCCTGTTTCTAGATGATTCAGTTGATGCAGGCTCCCTCTGGATCCCTCCTGACCTGAGACCTGAGCGTTTAGCACTGCCATATTGGAAACTTTGAGGTTGATCCTGGGGGAAGGGAAGCTTCGTATGCAAACTCCGCGGGATGAATCCGCTTTCCTCTCTTGGCTCACCCTGCTGCAATGCTACGATGTGATCTGAAGATTCTGTCTTAGTCAGAAGCGCTTCTGTTTTTTGAGATGACTCAAGATGCCACCTTCTGAACCCTGGGCTGCTCCCGCCAGATGCAGCAGATGCGAAAGGTGCGCTGCCGGAGGGTTCGGGGATATCAGGGGAAGATCTAGCAAAGCGCGCTGACCTTCTCCTCCCCATACATTTTCGAGCCATCTTCATGGGAGAGGCTTGAATTGAGCTGTTAAGTGAAGACAACTGCAAACTAAGAGGTGAAGATGGACGTGGAGGTGGAGGGATCAGAGAGGCTTCAATTGAGCCTAGAGTAGATGAAGAAGACCGCGGACGAACGAATTCAGCTGGAGGCGGAGGAGGAGGGATCGGAGAGGTTGGAATTGAGCTTTGGGTAGAAAAAGACATCTGCAAATGAGATGATGGAGCTGGAGGTGGAGGTGGAGGTGGAGGAGGAGGCGGTGGGATCGGAGAGGTTGGAATTGAGCTTTGGGTAGAAAAAGACATCTGCAAATCAAATGATGGAGCTGGAGGTGGAGGTGGAGGAGGAGGCGGTGGGATCGGAGAGGTTGGAATTGAGCTTTGGGTAGAAAAAGACATCTGCCAATCATATGATGGAGCTGGAGGTGGAGCTGTAGCTGTAGCTGGAGGTGGAGGCGGTGGGATCGGAGAGGTTTGAATTGAGCTTTGGGTAAATGAAGACGACCCTGAACGAGAAAATAGAGGTGGATGCCGTGAGATTGGAGAGGTTTGAAGTGAGCAACGGGTAATTGAAGACAACTCCAAACGAGAAAATAGAGGTGGAGGCCGTGAGATCGGAGAGGTTTGAAGTGAGCGACGGGTAATTGAAGACATGCGCCAAGGAGATGATAGATCTATAGCTGGAGCTGTAGCTGGAGCTGGAGCTGGAGCTGGAGGGATCGGAGGGGTTTGAATTGAGCTGTGGGCAAGTAAAGAAGACCACAGAAAAGATCCACACTCCAGGACAGATTCCACTTCTGGTTTCTTTTCTCTGGACTCCAGGAAGTCTGGTTCAGTTAGCTCAACGTAAAAGTCATAGTCATCCATCGCATTCGCATCGCCCGATGAAGCCGATGAGCTGCTGTAATCCTGCAAAAGGGGAGAAATGAGAAAAACCAAAATGAAGTCAGAGCCTCGATTTTGCAATCAGATGAAAACTCTAAACTTGAAACCTTTGCTTTCACACACAGGACTATAAGTTGACTGTAATGGTTTATTTAAAATTTAAAAACATTCAATATGACTCAAATCTGAATAGACAGTCGAACATGTCTTTTTCTACGTCCTCGGATAAACTACAGTGTTGGTCAGCGACTGGGTCAAAACAGGGTTCAGATGTTTTTATGACATCATGACAGCAACATTCATAGAACTATAATGACTATTTTTTTTAAATTTGTCAACAAAGTAAAAGCACATTGTTCATTTTTTTGCTGCAATGCTTTTAAATTTCAGAGCTTTTATTTTTTAAAGATTATGTCAGTTGCTTTACAGACCACTGACTTTAAACACCAGTTCAGTAAATTATTAAAACTTCTATAGGACACACACACACACACACACAAAGAATAATAAAGAAAAAATCTGTTTCATTTCATGAAAGGGTGAAAATCTTCGTTGCAGCTAAACCAGATGAAGTTTTCTAGCTTCGCTCTGGACACGAACGATAACCGGAGAAGTCACTAAGATCACTAAGTTTCTAAGATGTGCTTTTGATTTGTACGCAATAGGAAAAGCAAACGTGCAGCTGAGGTTTAACATGAAGGGACAAACCGATGAACTCTCTGGAGAGATCGAGCCTCTCAATACACCTCGACGCTGAATCTGTGCAGATACCTTTTCTTCAAAGTAACGCTATAACAGAGAGAAGTGCAATTAGTAAATCATAATAAGTAAATCAGGCCTACAGTTTATCCAGGGCTGACCTGAAGAGGGGCATCAAGCAGGCCAAGCACTGCCACAAGCTTAGGATCGAGGAGCACTTRAKGAACAACTCTGACCCCKMACGCATGTGGCAAGGCATCCAGGCCATAACAGACTATAAACCCACTAGCACCACCCCCCAAAACAGTGCTGCCTCCTTTCCTGACGAGCTAAACAGCTTTTATGCACGCTTCGACAGGGACAACCAGGAGGCTGCCATCAAGGCTGTGGTCACTTCAGACCACCAACCCCTAACACTCTCCTCCACCGACGTGTGTGCTGCACTGAGCAGGATAAATGCACGCAAGGCCGCTGGCCCTGATGGCATCCCCGGACGCGTGCTCAGGGCCTGTGCTGGGCAGCTAGCTGAGGTCTTGACTGACATTTTCAACCTGTCTCTGGCCCAAGCTACTGTCCCCGCCTGCTTTAAAAATACCTCCATCGTGCCGGTGCCAAAACACTCCACTGCAGTGAGCCTCAATGACTTCCGCCCTGTTGCACTGACCCCCACCATCATGAAGTGCTTCGAGAGGATGGTCATGGCTCACCTCAAAAGCTGCTTACCACCCACACTGGACCCCTTCCAATTCGCCTACCGTAAGAATGGGAGCACGGAGGATCCCATCCCAACGCCAATACACTTCTTTTTTTCATACCCAACTCTTACTGTATATATCTTATTTATTCAATTATTCCACTTTACATATGCACATACTCTGCACTTTTATTGCTATTTTGCACTTCTGGTTAGATGCTAAACTGCATTTCGTTGTCTCAGTACCTGTACTCTGTACAATGACAATAAAGTTGAATCTAATCTAATCTAATCTAAAAATGTGCTCTTCCCCTCTGATTACTCTACACACAGTGTGAGGTTACCTGAGGCATGCCGTCATGGCTTTCAAGACACTTTAATATGTGATTCACGTCAAGCTCAGAAAGATCCTCCTCATTCCAGCTGATGTAGGGGAGGAAGTCCACATCCTCCTCTGCGATCAACTCGGGGATGTCTGTAAAACCCTCCTCCGGTTCCTCCGGGTCCTAAACACAGGGTTGATGAGTCGGGGTTGGTTCGATGGTGATGAAAAGGAAACATGATGTGACAAAACCTTAAAACCCAGCAAGTGTGAGCGAGGCAGAGTCCTGCACCGGGTCGGGTAACGTGATATGTAATGTCATTTTATGTAATGGTTTTTCTGGGGAAATCAGAAATTAAAATAATTGTAAAGTAAAGCTTATATGAAATCTATGAAACCACCTTTGACCCACACACACACACACACACACACACACACACACACACACACACACGTTAACGGGTCGGGGGTGATCCGGATTTGACTTGGAGACACCTTATGGTTTTACGCTGCAGGTTTGCAGAACTGAACCCGTGCAGGACTCTGGGTCGGTGGGTTGCATGTTGTCGTGCTGGACAGCTACTAGAGATGAACACTAAAACACATGTGTTGGACAAACCCTCTCCTCAATGGCCACAAAGCTGGTGAACTGAGACAGGATGGAGAACTCTTTGCTCAACTCGATGACGAAGGACTTCAACTCCGCCTTCTTCCCCTGGAAAAAAAAACCAAACATGTGAAGCTTAGACTGGACAACACACACAAACACACACAGACACACAAACACACACAGACACACACACCTCATGTTCAGCCTCGTCTGTATCCAGGCTTCCATCTTCGTAATCCCTGATGAGGGCTCTGGCTGTGAGCTTGTGAAGGAACTGAACACAAACACGTCACAGTCATCCGTCGTCATCTCCATGGTGACGACACTACATCTGTGCACTGAACTAGTTTCACTGTCTCACAATCAGAACGACGCTGTCATCAAATAACCGGAAAAACACACTGGACTGAAACGACAGAAACCACCTGTGAGGAGAATCTGTTTAACTTTATGTTTTTAATTTGGTCCATGTTGCGGAGCTATCGTCGGCCTCGACCTTCAGGGAGGTGTCACGTCACCCATCTTTACGAACAGTGCACGTGTGGACTCACCGTGCCTCTCGTCTTCTGCAGCTCACTCGTCGACACCATGGTGTTGAGCTCCTGACCACTCAGGTTCCCGTGGAGGCTGGCCTGTATGAAGTAACATGTAAAAACATGAAGAGGCGGCAGAAGACACGAGGTATTCTTCATTTTACAGACAAAGTAAGAAGCCGCGGTTCAGTTTGCAGCCTTGGCCTGTTTCTGCGTCACGTACCTGAGTGCAGTGCGGCACAAAGCCGTACACCAGCGTGTGACAGTCGTTGAACAGAGCGTGGAGCTGTTTGGGCGCTTGCACAGGAGCGGGCGCTGTCGGGTTGAACTGCTGCCACTTCACAGACACTGAGCTGCAGCCAGGAGACGCAACGCGCTTCACCTGACGTGACACCTGCCGCCAGAACAGAGGTCGTTTCATTTCCTGCAAGACTAACGCTGCCACGTAATGATTTAATCACCAACACAATGAAAGTGGATCATATGAGTCCAGTTCTCAGACTTTTACTTTTACTCTCCATCCGTTTTATAAAAGTGTGTTGCAGTTGGTTTCTAAGACACCGAGCTGTTCAGGACCTAAACACACTTCTGATCTACTGTGTCGTCAGAAACCATCGTGTGTCCCCCGAGATTTAACTACAGACTGAAAAGCAGCGTTCAGCGTCATCACACCTTCTCTGACCAGCTGTGTTTGACCTTCGTGTCAAAGAACTCGTAGGCTCCGCCCCCGGCCTGGGCCAGAGCTCTCAGCATGTGCCGATTGGCTGTCGGACTGAAACGACAGAGATGAACATAAGAATCACAAGCTAACACACACACACTCTCATACATAAGGACACGCCCCCCCCACCCCCCACCCCCCATGACCCCGCTCAGACCTGAGGCCGCAGGTGAAGAGGCGGCTGTGCTGCACGTCGTCTCTGAGCAGCTTCAGGGTGAAGTTTGCGTTCTGGATGTGGCCGTCCGACAGCAGCAGCAGGTTCCTGATGCCACGTGACGGAGGCAGCAGGCTGAGGGCCCTCAGGGGCCGCCAGAGCTCAGTGCTGCCACCCACTGGAGACAAGTTCTGATAGCGGGAAGTGGAGAAGAGATGTTGTGAGTTTGTTTAACATTTACAAGCTGACGATGTCGGCGGTCCGCCTCCACGTTTGTTTCTTCTGAAGTCACCTTGGATGGTGTGTTCATGCGTCTCCACTGGAACGTGGATTTTAAAATCAGTTTAAGTTTAGTCTGCATGACAAAACAACCAGAGGGGAAATCGAAGCATCTCTAATTAAGATCTAATATAAGACATAAAATAAATGTTTCTTGTCAGCTTCCATGTTGAACCACTAACAATAGAGTAATCTGCCAGTCACAGCTCACCTTGATGAAGCCCTCTGCCGCCTGTCGAGCCTCAGTGAGCGGCCGCGCTGTCAGAAACGCTTCGGTGTGATCTGGAAATCACAGTTAGTCAGGAAAATAACAACCGACTTCATTTGTCATTAGCTAAAAGCTTAAAAAATATGAGATTATGATCTATAAGAAACTGGACAGGTTTTATTTTTCCTTCCTCTTTAACGCTGAGACATAATAATGCAGAAGACGGACCTGTGCCAAATAAAACGACGTTGAGTCTGACGTTGCTGCCGAGGGCCTTGAGGACCTGGAGGGCGATTCTCTGAGCCATGCGGAGAGACTCCCCCTTCATGGACTCAGACGTGTCCAGCAACAGGACGACTTCATCGGATTCTGAGCTGGAACTGACATCGAAGTCTGGATAGAAAACCAACATGCACGCCTGGAGGAGAGAACGGCCATGGATAGAGGTTAGATGTTGGAATAGTGACTGACAGACAGACAGACAGACAGACAGACAGACAGACAGACAGACAGACAGACAGACAGACAGACAGGACGACCGACCTGACTGTCCTTGTCCGGGTGTCTCTCCACCCACATCCTGGGCAGGTGGACCTCGGACAGACTGACCGACAGCTGGAAACCCTCCAGACCCATCACCTGTCCTGGCAGCACGCTCACTACTGCCTTACAGTCGGTTCTCTGTGGGATCACACAGCGCCATGTTTTAATATCACAGGAGCAAACAGCTCAGTTTGTAAAAATATTACTTTCCTCTGACTATAACTTTTAACAGTTCAATGTGCAGCATCAAGTACCTTAGTTTTTAAATGTTTTATTATCACATCTCCTTTTTTTTATTGCTGTTCTTCTTAAATTACGTTATTATTACTGATATTTATTATTTTACTGAGCAGATCATAGTATTTGTAAATTGTAAAAGATGTACGACAGATTCAATATCTCAAGTTTTTCTTTTAGTAGTAACCCACACTCTTGATGTGACTGACACCCAGTGAACAGACTGTGAAACTTCACTTTACCTTGACCTTGACTTTGTGAGTGATGCACTGCAGGCTGCTGATCTCGTTGGGCATCTCCACCGACACATCCAGGCTGAACTCTCTGAAACAAGCAAACAGCACAAACGCACATTACGAAAGAAATTCGTGGGGGAAGGAAACTACGGGACAAAACTTCTGTCCAGAATTTTTACTTCACGAATAACTGCAATTAAATCCCGTAAAACCTTCAATAAACAAACCTTGTATTTGCTGCATCATCAGTCACACACACTTTCTCCACAGTGACCTGTCGAACACAGAAAACACAGAGAGGTTTGCGGTATCGTTCGATTCCCTTTAAACTCTGGACACAATTCAACAGAATTCAATGTGTGGATAATATCATCGTCTTCACTTCTTGATCATCATAAATGTGAAGTTTTATAAAAGTAGAATCACTGCCCTGTTGGTTCCATTCCTCCACCGACCGGTTGAGTTTCAGTCTACTTGTAGTTTTTACATTTGTAAAAGCTCTTTGACCTTTGACCCAGACATCTGACCCACGTCTTAGTTCTCAGTAGCTCCAGGCTCTCCTTACCTGTGTGGTCTGGTTGAGCGCTGCGCTCTCCTGCCACGGAGCCACACTCCCGGGCACAGAGAAGAGAATACTCCCGTCCCTGACGATCAGCTCGGACACGAAGGTGACTTTGATGAGGACGGTGGCTCCGGGAGGCAGATTGCCAACGCTGATGGTGAACACGTCCTGCAGAGAGTGAAAAACAGGGACGGACAATAAAGATGGACGACAAGACAGATCCCCAACACATGAAGCCAACACATCTGGATCGCCCCCCCGTGGCTGGCTGCGGTATAGCTCATAAACCATGTCTCCTCCATGTTAGCAGATGGACCGAATGTTTCCATTAAGTTTGGGTTTAATTAGTTATTTAATTGGTCAAACACATGTATCAGTGGGACAGAGATACCACAGCTGCAAAACAAGATGGCGGGACCTGTGTGCAGGATATTTTGACTTCATTTTTGTACAGTTGGAGGAAGTAAAGACGTGTCGTCCATAGTTATTTCAAGTCTGTTGGGTGGACATACGGGGGCGTCCTGATCCATGAGATATGCCCCATGGCCCTTCTCAATAGCCTTTTTGTACTCCTTACGAGCCGTCTCCTTCTCCTTCACCTGAGAGACACAAGAACAATGTTCATTCGTTTTGATAATAATTCTTCGTGTTGTACCGGAGGGTGAGGTTTGCTTCATATTGCAAACACCGAGCAGTCGACCAGAACAGTCACCCGTCACCACATCCGGTTCAAAATGGAACAACATAAAGAATCGCAGTTACAAGTCCGGTCCGTAAATCAACGTTACCTTTCCCACCACGTGTTTCCCATTGATAAACGCTTCAAATCCACACACAGCTGCAGAATCGTCCAACGGGAAAACGTACTTGGCCTCGATGGACACGGAGCTGGTGTTGGTGTATTTTTGGAAAATTATGACCTACAGGAGGAAACAGGAGCGATCAGCAGGAAGTGGAAGTTCATATCCACGAGTCTGATGCAGCTGAGGAGGTTGAATCAAATCATCGGATCATTCAGAGGAAAAAGAAAAACCTGAGAGAGCAGGTCCATCAGTTTGCACTTCAGGTGGACGGCCTGCAGAGGGAGCTGCTGACCGGAGCTGTCCAACAGTCCGGCCTTCACATCGTCCAGAGGGTTTTTAATGTCCTCAACTCCGACGTCCTCTGAACTCAGCACTGCACACACACACACACACACACACACA